ATTTTTTTTAACAAGTAAGTTTTAGATTGTTCATGGTAAAACTCGTTTGAAATGAATTGTTATAGGTTAAATTGTTGCTCAGTATTGATATACAATTTTTAAACAATTCTAACTGCTTTACAAAGCACATTTTCAATAATTTCTGAAGTACGCAAATCTTTCATTGATTGTAGTGCATTTTGAAAGAAATCAATAGCAACTACTATATTCATTTCTTCGGATTCTGGAATATTATTGAGATTGTGTGTTTTTTATAGAATCGTTTTCATGACTTTCAGAGAAACAATATTTTAGCACAGGGTGGCCAAAACGTGGCGCATTGGACGATTACAAGTGGCGCTTCAGTTAGTTCTGAGCAAAATTGCCAGATTTGGCTTTTTTGCGATTAAGAATATTATATAGAAAAATAAATTTTTATAGTCTGTCTTGGCAAGTTTATTTGTTGCACAATTTGTTACGGTCTATTTTGCAGATAAAATGAGTATTCTCCACATAGTAAATTACAATGTATGCATGTATTTTGAGTCTTGCGATCTTTATTTCCGATCAGTTTACAGGCGTGTAAATGGCCGAAAACATTTATTGTGATTAAAGTTATTCCAAGCTGATCTCGTTCTCAGTGCCAATAATTGTGGTGCAGAGTAATCTTCACCAAACGAGACTCTGGCAGCAATAGCACCATCATGAAGCAATCACCCTCTCGTACAGGAGATCATTGTTGACTATTGTAAATTGGTGCTTCAATAAACTGTCATAAATTAATTAATTCAACTGCGTGATTAAGTTATTCCCTTTTCTTTCCTAAGCGAAGCAGATTTATTCTTATCTCTATTTATCAACACCTAACATTGAATGTAAGACTGTATGAAAAGTGTTCGAGTTATACGGCGCATTTCAACTCGTCTGTCAAAAAATTGGCGCATGGTATGCAAAAGGTTGGCCACCCCTGTTTTAGCATATATTTCGTATGTTTTTGCACACGTTTCCTTGTCCTATGAAAAACTTGTGCTGTAATTTTTAAGAGCATACATAGTCACACTAAATGACATTTTGACACATTTGATAGACTCGGAATAGACCCACCTAGATTTTGATAAACTTCGAAGCTATTTGTTGTTTGTAGATATTAGATATGTTATTAAACCAAAATTTAAATATTCAAGTAGCCTGTATACAAATAAAAAGTTATATTTAAATGGCTTACACTAACACACTACTATATATATATAGAAATTATATATCAGAAATTAATTCATTTATGACCACGTTGATTTGCATACGTCACCGTTTTCCTTCTACAAAATTTTTTACCAACAAAACATTCAAATATCTAATTAGAATATTTTTATTTTCAAAGAAGCATATTTTTTTTATATTTCTCATATTTTTGCGATATTATGCTATTTAAATATTTTCTATACAATGACGATTTAAATATTTTCTATACAACTATAAATATGAGAAATATTAAAAAAAACTATGTTTCTTTGAAAATAAAGATATTCTAATCAGATATTTGAATGTTTTGTTGGTAAAAATTTTGTAGAAGGAAAACGGTTACGTATGTAAATCAACGTGGTCATAAATGATTTAATTTCTGATTACTATTTCTTGTTGCTTAGATTTTTACAATTACATGCTAATTTAATTTCAGTTATTGTCTAATTGGACTGCAATTTTCAAATTGTAAACCTATAAATTCCCGCTGGCATCTGACCATCTGTCCTTCCTTAATCCCGAGAACGGATTAGACAGATGAAATTCGAGACCAAACGTGAAAAGCTTAGGGGCAGGAGGTCCCGATTTACTATATACAAACTTTCCGGTCTAGACCGGAAGTCACGTTATTTCAATCAAAAACTTTCTCCGTAAACGGAGTTAGAAAGATAACTGGCATGACTGTTGTTATCAGGAAAAGTATGATATACAGGGCAAGACACTAAAAGCAAATTCTCTCTCTTTTCAAATGATTAGTATTTATGGCTATAAATTTATTTTTGGTTTTATAAAAATTGTAAATTTTTCAATTAAAATACTAACAACCATGTAATTCATTTTTCTGTATACATTTTGAATTGTATACAATTAAGTTTACATCTGTCGCATGGAATTGGAAAATAAAAATTGAACTTTCGACGTGTTTAATGTTTAATAAAATTTACTTCTCAATAAATATGAATGGAAATCAGAAAAATGAAATCGCCGCTTATTTGAAAGGTTTACGATAAAAATATATTAGTCTATTACCAAACAAAAACATAAAAAATTGTTTATCGAATGACATATATAAAGTTAAAATCTTTAATTTTAAACAGATTAGCAGTAAAATATTCATTTATTATTTATTTATTTTTGTATTTTACGTTAGAAAAACTGGTTTATTAATATAGAGGAAAAGGTGGTATTATGGACCACTGCGGGTATTATGGAACCACCCCTTTTGGAACTGATAATAAAGGCGAACTGTAGCGGATTGTGGCTGAACTGAACTAGGCAGACATCCATAGAAAGAAGAAAACCCGTTTCACTTCAGTTAAACGGTTGTCCGTATTTAATCAGCAAATTTGTTTTTTTCAAAATTCACAAGTTTTGAATGCTAAGTGAATTTAATTATTTTTAAAATATAAATCGTGCAGTTGTAGGTTCACTAGTGCATGTATTCCGTTCCAGAGACATAGGGGTACGTATTAATCTGTGTGATGTTCACGTTTTTTAAATTTTGGTCTCGACAGACATAAGTTAATTCAAGATGGCGATGCGTGAAATACGAACCCCATTGGTGCTTTTACAGTAATATGGAACTCAACTCCTCCGAACTCTCTTTGCAAGCACACATTCGTCCGGAGCAATTTGTGAAAAAGACACTAGGTAGAAAGTCAATTCTTCCCGAGAATATCGAAAAAGAGCTGCTGGAATATATATTGTTGATGGAGGTCATATTTTTCTATTATAAAAGCATTTTTGCGATAAAATACATTGGAGTAAATAATTT